AAAAAGCTGATTCTGTTATTACACACCTGCTAGAGGTGATGGCAGTTATGGGTATACCTGCACAAATAAAAACTGACAATGCTCCAGCATATGTCTCCACAAAATTAGAACAATTTTTCAAATATTATAACATAAAGCATCGGTATGCCACACAATCTTACAGGAGAAGCAGTGGCTGAGAGATCCAATAGAACACTAAAGGAGATGCTCAACAAACAAGCTTGGAAGACTAAACCCCCTAAACATAGGTTGCATAATGCTCTATTAACACTAAACTTTCTTAATACCAATGAAAAAGGACAAACAGCTGCAGAAAGACACTGGACTACAGAAAAACATGCTGAAATGAATCAGCAGGTGTATTTCCAAGATTTACTAACCTTTATATGGAACCCAGGTGTGCTACGTTGGGGTAGAGGTTTTGCACTGGTTTCCACAGGAGAAGAAAAACTTTGGAAACCATCAAAGTTGATCAAGATTCTCGTTGAAAAGGAAAAATCTCTCGACGAGGACAAATGACAGGTATTCTACTAAGGTATATCTTATAAACTAAATAGAAACCTCGCAAAGGAAAGGGAAGTGTCTTGCTTTTATCTTCACAGGAAAACTCATCTCCAGAAGGCAAAGGACACTGCATGGGTAGATGCTTAAGAAAAGGTAGTTATAACTATCAAACAAAAGGAACGTGCCATATGGTAAACTTTACGGCTGTCACTCAGAGAACTCTATTTCTCTATTTCCTAGTCCCTATTCAATTAAACCAATGCTGGATTTAGGGTGGATTTGGCTTTCCTCCTCTAAAATCCAAGCACGTTGTTTAAACTTTAGAGTTTCTGTATTGTATCAAGAAGCCAATTGGTGTAACACAGAAAAAGAATTTGGGGACTATCTTTGTCTTATCTTGGCTCTTTATTTCAAGGTGTACACCCTCTCATAATCGTTATTCTCCGATAGTTGCCTTTCCCAGTATGTGTACATACACAAGCAAGTATTTCTCTACTAACTATTTATGTTTGAGTCCCACCCAGCCAATGAAGACCTGCCTGACAGCAATCCCTGGATACCCTGGAAAGATAATGGGCCACACCTCCTCGACTGCACTGGATCCAACTTGCTCCATTTCAACGGATACTCTGGCCAAAGTTTCAGATACTGACTTCAATCAAGGTGAGGATTTGTAACATGGACTGGATACAATCCATTCAAGACATTCACTATACTAACATTTTCTTCCTACAGGACCTCACAAGGATGTCATCCCATTTCAGCAGGAAGTAACTTGGAGAATGCTACGTCCCTTTTCCCCATTGTTGTCATTTAGGATAGTGTATATACCTAAGTTAGGGATAGCTTGCTATTGTTTATGGTTGGGATTGGAAGGTGTTCAGGCTTGGACACCTCTTTGCTTAGGGGCTGGGGAGGGGAGAGAGGGGAGAAGGGGGAGGGGGAAAGAGAGGGAAGGGGGAAGAGAGGGGGGAGAGAGAGGGGAAAGAGGAGAGAGAGGGGAGAGGGGAGAGAGGGAGGAGAGGGGAGGGGGGAGAGAGAGGGGAGAGGGAGGAAAGGGGAGAGGTGAGAGGAGAGAGAGAGAATATGTTCTAAGTTGGAACGCAGGTCTTTGTAAATACGTGACAAACACTCTACCATGAGGTACATCTCTGGACCTTTTAAGATACTCTTCTGGCAAATTTGCCTCTTAAACACTGAAGTTTATCAAGTCCAAATGTAGGTACTTGGTTTCAGAAGACATTATAATACTACCTTAAATCTTTATATGGGATGGAAAATGGAAAATAACAATATTGTCCATATACATCATCATTATCTTAATAAAATGAATTTACAAAATCATAAAATTTAGTGTTATTTGGTATTTGTACATTAAGCCATCAATAGTTTTCACTGGCAAAAATGAGTATCTGTGGTTTATATACTACTGATTATGAACTACTATATTTAATTATGATGTCACAGACATTTCCAAATTGATGTGTATTAGATGGGAATTTAAGATCATCCTACACAAGGTGAGACATTGTTTTGAGGCAGGTTCTCTTTACTGTTCAACACTACATATACCAGGCTAGTGGCCAGCAAACTTCCAAGAACTCTGTTTCTGCCTCCTAGCTCACTCCAAGAACACTGACATTACAGATTTGAGCTGCCACGGCAACTTCCCCTGGGGATTTATTTGAAGTCCTCACACATGCATGGCAAGCCTTTTACCCGCTGAGCCATCTCCCAAACCCCATATTTAGCCTAATTTTAATGATACAAGTAATTCAGTTTAAAGCTATGAAACAAGAAAATTTGTGTTTGCTAGTTTTATTTCAATTTGATCCAAGCTAAATTCATCTGAGAAGAGAAAACCTCAGTTGAAAAAAAATGTCTCCATAAGATTGGGCTGTAGGCAAGCCTGTAAAGGGTTTTCTTAATTAATGGGGAGAGCATAGCCCATTGTGGGTGGGTCCACCCCTGGGCTGGGGGTCCTGGGTTCTATAAGAAAGCTGAGCAAGTCAAGTGGAGTAAGCCAGTGAGCAGCACTCCTCTATGGCCTCTGCATCATATCCTGCCCACAGGTTCCTGATCTGAGTTCCTGACTTAGCTTCCCTCAGTGGACTATGATTCAGGATATGTTAGCCAAATAAGCCCTTTCTTCCCCAAGTGCTTTTGGTCATTGTGTTTTATAACAGCAACAGTAACCATAAAGAAGGAAAAATTGTATAACATTCTTTAGTAATATTCAATGTAAATCAAATATAGTTATTTTAGATGACAATTTTTAAAAGGTCCCATGAAAATTAAACCCTATATTCCCAAGATAACTCACTTTATTTTTAGGAAGAGAACATTCATTCATTCAAAATATCTTTTCCAAGCAAATAAGTGTCAAGCACTGTGCCAATTAGCAAAAATATGCCACAGCAGAAATGTCCACCCCAATCCAGCAGTGAAAGCTAAAATTAGACAAGGAGATGAGAAGCCATTGAAGGGTTTGAAACATAGATTAATATACCAAATTCATTTCTTGAAAAGATACTAAATAGCATGCAAAGACATAAGAGGACTTCACAAAGAAAAGGTTATCAGAATACTCAAGAGAATGGAAGCCTGCAGACAACAATCAGTGGGATTGGAGAAACGTGAACTGACTCGACATTAGGAATTCTATTAAAATCCACTGCACCTCCCTAATTATTTGATGTGACAAGCAAAAGAAAAATAAATAAATAAAATAAAAGGGGGGGTCAAGAATGAGGAAGCAAAGCCGGGTGGTGGTGTCGCAAGCCTTTAATCCCAGTACTCAGGAGGCAGAGGCAGTCGGATCTCTGTGAGTTCGAGACCAGCCTGGTCTACAAGAACTAGTTCCAGGACAGCCTCCAAAGCTACAGAGAAACCCTGTCTCAAAAAAACCAAAAAAAAAAAAAAAAAACCCAAAGAAAAAAGGATTGAGGAAGCAGCTTGCTAAGATGGCAAGAACCAGAAATCTTAAGAGGCCATGATATCCACGTAGAAGCAACCATCCAGTAGGAAGTAAAAAGTTCATAAAAGAAAGTGGGGTGGAAATAAAATTCAGAAGAAACTGAGATTTGAGTACAGGTTTTCAAATCATATTTACACTGTTTGAGAAAAAAAAAAAGAACTGTCCTGTGAGTGGATGCAGTCACTTGAGAAGTTATAAAGCAAAAGAACAGCCTAGATCAGAGCTCAATCACTCCAATTTAAGAACAAAGGCTGCTGCACATTGTATTTTAGAATGTTACTCGTATGTAAGGGGCAGAGAATAACTCCCTTGCAGAAGATGTAAAATACAAGGAAACATTATTATTTATGGCCCAATTACATGTCAATTGTCTTTTCTTACATATTCAATTACTGTTCATAACAACCCTAGGAGACGATGTCCATACAACAAGGAAAAAAAACTTAAAACAAACATGCCACATCACAAAGGCATGGCAACCCAATCAAGCCAACTTAACCCCAAAATTTCAGTGCTTTTGCCTAAGCTTAATGATTTATTATCAAAAATAATCTATTATTAAATTTTTTAATTATCTCTTAGAATTTTAGAATTTCATACAAATTTCAGATGAGAAAATAATCCAACTTACTTTACATTTTTAATTTTATTGTATGAATGTTTTGCCTGCATGTATGTCTGTTCACTACATGTGTACCTGGTCCTAGTAGATGTCAGAAGAGGGCATCAGATCTCTGAATCAGGAGTCACAGGCAGTCAGCTGTAAGTTACTAGATGATGGGAGCTAGGAACTGAACCCAAGCAGTCTGTCAGAGCAGCCAGTGCCCTTAACCACTGAGCCGTCTCTCCACACCCTAGTATTATCTAACTTACTTTATAGTCAAAGAAACTAATGAGTTTAGATATTAAGGAAATTTACTAAAATATAATAGCTCATTTCCCTATAGCTGCATATTAACTAATAATTTTCAAGAATCAAATTTGAGTTACCTATATATCTGATACTGATACTAAGCGCATCACTTTGAGTTGTTCTAATAAAAATAAAAATAAGAAATAAAAATAAAAAGCCCTTTAACTACTGTCTCTTAGCTAGCCACTCTACTACTAAAAGCAAAGCAGTAACAGAAAATACACCTGTGATCATGAAATAGTCCAGTGAAAACAATGACTGAATCAAATGAATTCATTGTATTTGACTTACTTTCGGTGAACGTTTCGGTCGCCATCAATGAATCACACAAGATACATATTATTGACAATATTCCTGTTTTAACATTAAAAATATCAACAAACTAACATTTAGCTTTTTTATAAAGTTTTCAAATACTTCATAGTAAGGCATAATTTTAAAAATCAGTATGGCTGTAGTATTAACTTTCTAGTTCCAATCTGGATGTCCTTGGGCTGGGGAGCTTAATAGGTAAAGAGCTTGCCATTAAGAATGAGGACCCCAGTTCAATCCCTAGCAGCTATGTAGAAAACTGGGTGTGGCACATGCTTGGAATCCAGGAAGAACCAAGTGGAACCCAACCTCTGGAGCACTGCCAGAAAGCTCAGCTCCCAATAAGTTAGCATGTCTCAAAGTGGATCTCTCCTGAGAACTACACCCAAGATGGCCTCTGGTCCCCACGTGTACATGTACACTTGAACACACACAGCCACATAGAAAATGGTCCTCAATAACTTTTCATATACTTTACACTTCCCTCATTCTTTCTTATTAAAATTATTTATTTGTAAATGTATGTGTACAGCACCATGTGGGTCCTGGGGATGAAACACAGGTCCTCAGGCTTGTTGGCAAGCATCTTTACCAGCTGAGCCATCTTGCCAGGCCTGTGAATTTTAAACAAAGTCTACCAGTTTCAATCAACAAATACAGGCTCTCTCATGTTCACACATACAAAAACACACTCAAAACTTTTTAAAACTTTGTTGTTAATTTTTAGTATGTCACACCATTTCTAATATTATTTCCATCAATCACAACCAGACAATATCAATGAAATAGGTACAAAATTCTCCAAATTACATTTCATATGAAGTCTGTATTACCATATGTAAGATTCTAAAATAAAGTTACAAAGAAATATTTTTTTCCTGGAGAAACAAACCTCTTTCACAATACCCTGTTATGCCATGTTAAAATCAGCTCCGCACTGGTAGTACCGTACCTAAGGAGCCCATGGGCTGCTGGCTGTTCGGTGGTATGTTCTCCTTAGCCATAGAGATTAATATTTTACTGTTTTCAGAGAGTTTCTCTGGTGCCTTTCCCTGGAAAAGACATGATATTTACAAATCAAAAAGGAAGGACAAAAACCGTACAATCCATCTCAAAACTTATTCAACATATTAAATACCTTAGGGAGAAAAAAAACTATACAACAGAGATTGAAGCAAAATTTGAGAAATGAACCAAAATTACTTACATACTGTAACACCTGTTGTGATACCTAACTCATTCTCTTAGAAATACGTCTCTGTGAAATGCCAGGCACTGTGCCCAACACTAGAAACGTTAAAACAAAACTGAAAGCTTCTGTTAGTTTATACACTGCCGGTGGACATGAGGAAACTAACATATGTAAAGAGTGGGGATGAGGAGACAGCTCAGTTGGTAAAGTACATTCCCTGAAAGTGTGAGGACCAGAGTTTGCATTCCCAACACCACATAAAATTTTGCCAGGCCCAGCAGCATTTGTCTGGACCCAGGCTCTGGGTATCAGAGAGACACAGATCTTCACGTTCTTCAGCCAGGCAGCACAGCAAATTCTATGAAGTCCAGGTTGAGTGAGAGGTTCCCATCTCATAAAAGAAGGTGGCAGCAATCAAGGAAGACACCTAATGTGGACATCAGGCTTCCTTCTACACCATTCAAACCCACATGCACATACTTATCATTCTCTCTGTGACTCTCTCTGTCTCTCATTCTCTCTCTCTCTCTCTCTCTCTGTGTGTGTGTGTGTGTGTGTGTGTGTGTGTGTGTGTGTGTGTCTGTCTCTCTGAGTCAGGGAGGGTCTATGGGTCTATGAAAACAAAAGACAGAACAAGATTAAAAGACCCAGAAATACTGAGGGAGGGCCTGCAAGGCCTCAACAAGCAGTGATTCTTGAACTAGTACATAAAGGTCATTTAGTAAAGCTGTAAAGTGACATGCTCAAACATGCAAACCACTCTCAGTATCAAATAAATATGAGCACACCCTGCCTGGTGCTGAGTGAGTGTACCAGCCTGAATCCATCCCTGTGTGTACCTGAACTATGAGTATGATGGGCCATTTGGGTGAGGGTACCAACCTGAATTCATCCCTGTGTCTACCTGAACAAACTATTTACTCCTTTTAGTCTCATTTTCTTGATCTCTAAAAAAACAAAAAAAAAAAAAAACACCTCTACTTGATAAAGATGTTGCGACTAGATGAAATGCTACATACACAGCTCCTGAGGCAACCCCTTGTACACGGCAGACTGTCTGGAAGGAAGACAGCCATGGACAGTGCTCAAAAGAACGAGCACTTAGGGTTGGAGAGATGGCTCAGCGGTTACTGACTGTTCTTTTCCCATGAGTTCAATTCCCAGCAACCATGTGGTGACTCACAACCACCTTGAGTGAGATCTGGTGCCTTCTGCTGGCATGCAGGCAGAAGACTATACAAAATAAATAAATAAAATCTTTTAATAAAAAAAAAAAGAACGAGCACTTAGTGTCTACCAACTCCTTTATCTCTCTGAGTCATTAACTTCCCAATGCCTCAGTTTACTACCTGAAAAATTATAATTAAGACATACTTATTTCAAGCTGGCCAGTGATGGCGCACACCTTTAGTCCCTGCACGTGGAAGGCAGAGGCAGGCAGATCTCTGTGAGCTTGAGACCACTCTGGTCTGCAAGAGTTAGTTCCAGGACAGCCTCCAAAGCCACAGAGAAACCCTGTCTCACAAAAAAAAAAAAAAAAAAAAAAAAAAAAAAAAACCTATTTCAAATACAACACAGAAATATAATCTTTTAAGGCTATGCCATATCCACATTTACCACTCATATGTTAACTTATGTGAATAAAATGTATGGTAAGAATATCATGACTATCATCTCAATTTGGTTATCTCTGTGTGGGACAGATGCTCAGCCAAATGAGACATTGGGAAATGGGTAAGCCAGAAATGACTTGGGCATTCTATACAGACATACGGTACAGAAGGTGTCTTGTTACCACACACTGAGTCTGTGAGGGATGGCACCTGTCTGCATCAGTGCAGTTCCAAGAGCCCAGGATGGCTCCAAGCATCATTTCAGTATTTGCTAAATGACAAATCACTCATGTCAAAACAAAAACCAATTTCAGAAAACTTTCTAGATACTGCTTTTCAGAAACAACTGTTAACATACTTGTTCTAAAAGCAAATAGTACTGTTGTGGGATATTTGTACACTGTGTGCAGATATATTGCTGTGATTGGTGTAACAAAAAGCTGAATGGCCAACATCCAGGCAGGAGGTATACAAAAATTTACAGGGAGATAAAAGGAAGAGGAGGAGAATCTAGGTGCACAGAAGACACAGAGAGAAAAAAGGAGGTGCAAGGTGGTAGAGAGGTACTGGCATGTGATAGAACATAGGTTAACATAAATGGGTTAATTCAAGTTATAAGAGTTAGAACAAGCCTAAGCTATAGCTGAGTTTTCATAATTAATGTTGTCTCTGTGTCATTATTTGGAACTGGCTGGAGGGACAGAAAAACTCATTACATAGTAAAAAAAAAAAATTACCACAATAATTTTACTAATACATATTTTAAAACATTTTTTAATCACTAAATACTCTTTTCACATGAAAATCTGAGAACTTGCTTATGTATCTGTTCTGCTTAACCTCTGGTCTTTCTGACAACTACTCATCTTGGTTAAGTATTAAAAGTATTAAAAGTTCAACAAAAGAGAATATTGTGAAATATAAAATCCCACCAAAAACACATTCAAAATCTCTCAATTCACGTCTAGAGTCAGGCTCTCCAAATCAGAACAAGGGTGTACTAATCAAAGTATGAGACTGGAGAGTCTCACTGTGGAACCCAGAGTCTCTCTCAGTGAAACATGCTTGGCTGGTTTTTTTCATTGTTGGTTGGTTTGGGAGGATGTGTTTGTTTGTTTGTTTATTTGTGAGATAGGGCCTCACAATGTAGCTCTTACTGATCTGGAATTCTTGCTGTATAGATCAGGCTGGTCTTGAACTCAAAACAATCCACCTGCCTCTGCCTCCCCAATGCTGGGATTAAAGGCCTGCATCATCACATCCAATTTAATGAAACATGTTGGGAGACAATTCCCAGGCTTGCCTTCATCTCCATGTAAGGTGGGTCACTTTCCAATTCTTCTTTGTCTCTGGCCAGTTTTGCCTTCTGCTCTTCAATGAATTCATCCAAGCTATCTGTCATTGTAGATTCTGAAAAAAAAAAGGAGTCTTCAATGAGCACGGCAATAGTGTAGTGTTTTAAACTAAAGTGGCAAGACAATGACATAATCCACATTTAGTACTTAGTCTCACTTAATCACACTGAGAACGACAAACTCAAGCATGAACATGAATACCTTCTGTCTGTCTCTTCCTCTCCAATTTCCCAGAAAACCCGACAATGCAGGTTAAAGTATAGAAAAAGAAAGGCAGTCAAAGGACTTTACAACTATGTGTGAAATCTTCATAATGAAAACCATTCTAGACAATCACATAATTAAAATATTAACAGACAAAACCAACAGCTATTACCATAATCCATATTCACACAATCAAAAAATAAAAAGGAAATAAACGAAAAACTTTTAAAACTCTAAAAGTTTTAAGCTCTTTAAAACATTCTTTTTCTGGCCAGGTGGTGGTACACACCTTTAATCACAGCACTCAGGAGGCAGAGGCAGGCAGATCTCTGTGAGTTCAAGGCCAGCCTGTTCTACAGAGTAAGTTCCAGGACAAGCTCCAAAGCTACAAAGAGAAACCCTGTCTTGAAAGAAAAAACAAAAACAAAAACAAAAAACCACTTTTCTCTGAAACCCTGTTTTCTAACTATTTGAAATTAATTTTGAGCTGGGTGGTGGAGGGGCATGCCTTTAATCCCAGCCTTCAGGAGGGAGAAGCAGGTGGATCTCAAGGCTCCATAGCAGCCTGGCCTACAGAGCGAGTCCCAGGACAACCATGGCTATGCAGGAAACCCTATCTTGAAAAACCAAAAAAGAAATTAATTTTGAGATCAAAGTTACTAAGTTAATACAAGAAGCACTTATATATTCTTTACCAACCCCTACTGTTAAGAATTTGCCCTTCTTGCTTAATCCTCTGCTTGTGTACAGTACACTATTCTCTGTATAACTTTTTCTAAAATTATACAAGTGAATTACATATAACATTGCCCTTTGTCACACAACTCTCCAAGATGTATTCTTAGAGAATTAGCTTGAGGCCAGAGATGCAAGCAGCTCAATGTGTACCTAGCATACGTAAAGCTCTGTGTTCAATCACTAACACTAAGTGAGGAAAGGGGGCGGTTACTTTCTTCAATGACTTTAACAGAGTATCAAATAAATATCAACTAAACATACATTAATTTTCCCCCCAGTACTGGGATTAAATCTGGCTTCACTGCATGTTACGCAAAAAACTCTACCACAGTTCTATCCCAGTTCTTTCAAATAAACCACTAGTAGCCTTTGTAGCCTTTTATTTCTCTCTTTAATATTCAAAATCCAGAGTATTGGGGCTTGACTAACTTGGAGATTTGATCAATTTTAAAAAATGTAAGGAAAGACTTAATTGGTCAAATCTCCAAGTTAGAGGCTACAAAATGCCTCTAATTCCACCACTGACTACTCACTTATTTACTAGTCAACACTTAAGTTATTCTATTGTAGCAAAAGTCCTACATTCACCCACTTACTTATTAGCTTGTCATCAGGCAGAATCTCAAACTCCTTTATTAACAAGGTCCTTACTTTAAATTCACAGGCTATAGTTTTAACTGAGAAATAACTCATATACCGTAAAACTCACCCACTTTAGTTACCAGCACTAGTGAGTTGTAATGCAATCATGGTTGCTCAGTTATTACTATAATTGCATTTTACAATGCTTCCATCACCTCAATGTGACAGCTAGTATATCTTTCTGGACAAGGTCAACCAATGCCAGATGATGGAGCAGGTATGGAAATCACATCAATCTTCAAGACTATGAGGTAAACAAATATACAGAGAAATCGAATACAGTAAACCAAAATCTGAGAAAAAATAATTAAACAAATATTAATCAAGCACAAGGAACATTAGAATAAAATAAAATTAAATGAAAATCCCACTGCTGGGGGTGTGCTACCTCCCTATAAGTTTTTGGCCAGCGAAGGCCCTAAACCCCCAAAACAATACAGGCCATTGCCACTGCTATTGGTTGCCCACAAGAATGAATGAAATAATAAGACCTTATTACTGAAAACACAGCATGTTTTGATCATAGGACAGAGAGAAATCAAGATAGAAGTAAGCTAGAAGCTTCCTCCTTGTTGGCTGCTTTCACTGTATCAGAGAGAAAACATCAATGTCTTATGCAGCAGCAAACCCTCCATGCTACAATACTGACCTATAGGGCAGGATGTGCCCACATGTGCAATAGTGGCATGGCTATTATGGGGATACCAATTGCTTTCTACATGGCTCTCAGGTCCACCACCAAAGTGAATTTAAGAATGGTGGTGTGGCCAGCTGGTGGTGGTGCATGCCTTTAATCCCTGCACTCGGGAAGCAAAGGCAGGAGGATCTCTGTGAGTTCGAGACTAGCCTAGTCTACAAGAGCTAGTTCCAGGACAGCCTCCAAAGCCACAGAGAAATCCCATCTCAAAAAAAAGAATGGCAGTGCAATTCTGGTCAATGTTGATGTTTGCTTTAGCAGAGAAGCTTTCTCACAGTGAGCAATGGTTATTGTAAAAACTCCTGACTGGTCCAGGTACTGAGAAAATGAAACATCTGAATGCTTAGCCATAATAAATGGGACATCTCCATCACGCCTTCTGGGTCTCAGGAAACATCACCAAGGAGGAAGCAGAAAGAATGTAACAGCCAGCGGATGGGATAGTGTTGTAGAACACTGGATTCTGGCCATGAACTGGCCACCACACTCAAGAACTTGAAAAAACTTGCACAAGACCTGTCTAAGCTTTGGCCTAACACATTCTGTCATGGCAAAGGAAGGGCACAATAGGCCCCATTCCTCACTAAATCTATAGGCAGTTAATGGTTGCTGGGGGAGAAAGAGAAACATCAGTTGTGTAGCCACTGGTAAGTTGCCCATACTCCTGTAAGAAAATTTAACTAAATTCATTGGGTCATTAAAAAAAAAAAAAAAAAAAAAAAAAAAAAAAAAAAATGGGAACTAGTTGGAAAAAGGAATAGGGTTGGTGGGAGGGGGGAAAAGAGGATAATGGGTGAGTGAATGTGCCTAAAATACATTGCTGGGCATGATGACACATGCCTTCAATCCCAGTACTAGGAGGCAGAGGTATACTAGCAAGTTCCAGGACAGCCAGGGCTACATGCTGGGCCCTTGTCTCAAAATAGAAATTTTAAAAATTATACACATCTACAAACAGTATTATAGCCTTTATTTGATACCCCAAAACTGACTAGCTTAGCTTGTCCTAAAACAATGATTTCTCAGATAATAAGGGCACATAAAAGCGTAACATAGACATAGAATAATATTAGTCTTATTCAAATAGTAAAAACCACATCCCCAGACATAGGCTTAACATGGTCACAATACACTGTTGAAAAAAGCAATCATGGGGAAGGATGGGAGTGGTTATTCACACTAGCATATGAATCCTAACACTTGGGAGGCAGAGGCAAATGCGCCTCTGTTAGTTCAACCAGACAGCTAGCTTCTTCTATAGTCAGTTCCAGTCCAGCCAAGGCTATGTGGTGAGTCTTACCCCAGCTGTGCCCCCCTCAAACGCCCCCCCAAAAAAAAAAACCTTGAAGCAAGAGAGCCTGTGGGTAACCTACCTCAAGCTCTGTGCGACGAGATCAAGAAGTGCAGGGTCCCTGCAGATGCTCTATAGCTCCGTATCTTATTTCAGTTTAAGAGTTTCCCCAAGCCTTGTTCTGAGACACTATGTCTCTGTCCAATTTTCCTGATAGAATAAGATACCCACAGGGTCAAGAACACCAAGAAATTTTTCCATGCCTCTCTGCAGTCCCTCCTCCCCGAACCCAGAGAACTAATCAACTCATATCTACCTCCATAATTCTGTCTAACTTGGAAGCTTCACATAAATGGATCATATAAAAGTCAGACAGCAGAAAGTATGTTTCCTAGTCAGTTCAAGAATGGTTTCTCTGTGTCCTGCAACCCAAGCATATGGTGTCTTCAGCAATGGAGTCTTACCATCTAGTTGTGACGAGAAACTAAGGACAAAGACAATAAATAACCCGTGCTTTCCGGAAAACCCCCAGAACCTCTCTGACCACTAACTCATAGAACTACCCATTGCTAGACTGAGATTTTCATTTAATAATTTACATCTTCTAGGAGCAGCACAGTCCACCCATTCAAGGTATAATTTCATTTTGTAATTAGCTTAGAAGATGTTATGCAGATCACTAGGGACAGGGGTACCGTTGATGGTCCTACCCAGCTGGACCCTAATAGGCAAGATGTGCCCACTACAACAATTAGTAGCATGACTGTTACAAAGGGATAATCAATTACTTTCTGCTTTGATCTAAGGCCTGTTCCACAGGGGTGAATCCATGCCTAGTATTGTAAAGCTGGGCAAAAGGCCATGGCTAAGGGAAGTCAAAAGCCCGAAGAGGGACTATATTACGGTTATTTTGCTAAATGATCATGCTGTCAAACTGCCTGTTCATACCCATAGATCTGTGCAACCATGCACATCAGAGACACTCCTTTCTTCAGGGACTGTTAAGACAGACTCACAACAAATCAGCACTGACAATAAGTAGGTGGTGCCAGAAAGGGACGTCAATGTTCCACACACCCAAGACATAGGAGCATCACAGAAAAGAGGTGAGGGAATCTAAGAGATGGAAGATAGGAAGAGGTGCTATGGATATGACATGGCTATTGCTCTCATGAATTCACAACAGCTGTGAGTTACCTGCATAAGACCTGTATGTCTCTGTGTATATTATTCACAATTTTTTGAAAAGATTACTTTTCACTGAAGCCAATTTAGTTGTTCTTGTTTTTAAGAAAGGGTCTCACTATGTATCCCTGACTGGCCAGAAATTCACTATGTAGTCAGGCTGGTCTTGAACTCACAGAAATCCACCTACCTCCAAGCCAGAGTGCTGGGATAAGGGTGTTTAACACTACACTGAACAGAAACTAGAATGTTTCAAAAACACGTTTTTTTTTCTAAAACCTCATCAAATTTAGTGAGT